ACACAAGCCTCGGCCTGTTGAACAGAATTACTCAGTAGCTTACAACAGACTTATCTCTGGGGGGCATGGGGGCAGGAGGGGATGAGTCTGCCTACCGAGATAAGGTGGACTGGTTGCTTTCGTAGTGTGGAGACAACAACTTGGTCCTCAACACCAATAAGAAGAAGGAGCTTATAGTGGACTATATAATGGATCAGACATCCAGCCCTTGCTTATCAATGGAGACAGTGTGGAGCAAGTGGCCAGTTTTAAGTTACTGGGTGTTACCCTAAAAGAGGACCTGACCTGGGGGGCTCACATTGCAGCCCTGGTCAAAAAGGGCCCAGCAGAGATTCTAGTACCTGAGGCTTCTCAGAAAACAACAACTGAATGAAAAACTGCTGGTGACCTTCTACCGCTGCACCACAGAGAGCATTTTAACATACTGTATCTCTGTCTGGTTTGTCAATTGCACAGGGGCAGATAGGAAAGCGTTCCAGAGGGTTAATGTCATTGCCCAGAAGATCCTGGGTTGCCCTCTCCCCTCTTTGGAAGAGCTTTATAGCTGTCGCTGCCTTAAGAGAGTTCAAAACATTCTCCAAGATCCATCTCATCCTGGGAACCCTTTTTTTGAACTATTACCATCTTGCAGACGGTACAGGATAATAAAAACAAGGTCAAATAGGCAGAAAAACAGCTTCTATCCCAGGGCAGTAGCTATGTTGAATTCTGCTGCATAGTGCATTGTTGGTGTGGTGTCGGTGTTTCCGGTTCAATGTGTGAAGGGTGAAGGATGTGTGTTTGTGTTTATTTTCATGGTCGTGTGTGGTGGTCTGACATTTGAAATGAGACGCAGGGAAAACGTCTGAGCAAATGCCAGCCCTGAGTAGACCCAGGTACCAGCTTTTATTGAGAACAAAATGCATATACAGAAAACAAGTGACCTCAACAGGATGTTATTTCCACAGGATATATAGGATGAGAACAAACAGGATGAGAATATATATCTGCGGAAATTCCCATGGGAATGGCTCAGCTATTCCCATGGGAATGGCTCAGCTATATACTATGACCTTTCACCGACATATCTGGTCCTCTAAGCTTCGCAGGTCCTAACAGGACAAAAACACCCATAGCAGGCGGAAATGCCCCCCCACCAGGGGCATTTTTTAGTCCCTAGATCTATGCAAAGCTATACAAGGACTTGCAGAATAAAATATTTTACCACAGTCGTGATATGCAGTGAAGATGGTATTTGATTTCGTTGTACGTTGTACAAGGTGCAATGACAATAAACTAAACCAAACTAAACTTATCCTTTGTTTTTCTTGGCAATCTCATTTCTGGATGAGTCCCCAGATTGCTGGGACAGCACCTACATGTTCTGTACCCAAAAAAAACGTTAGGAAATCAAGTTTCCAATCGAAATAAGATTCCTGGTAAACAAGTCAATAAAAGGAGTGATTCATAGCGGTCCCGGACAGATTTTTAGTTATTATAATCTGAAAGCTGGAAGATTTTTCTAGATGGGGAAACTTCCTGACAGACAGAGAAGAAACCACACAACACAACCCTGTTAGGCAGCTTCTGCCTTGCAACAGGACTAAAAAGAGGTGTGAGGGAAACCAGAGTATTTGACTAAGCAAAAAAACAGATTTTGCATTGTGGTGACTGGCACCGTGTTGTATTGTACTTGTGAATAAGTTTCATTGCCTCATTTTCGGCTGGGATGGTACTGATGGGTGACCAGGGGATCTTTAAAAGCAGAACTGGAAAATCACTGCAAAATGTTTGGGGTGTCTAGAAAGGGACAAAATATTTCATACACTTACAATTGCTTTGCTCAAAAAAATTGTGAACTTTCTAATGTGTGTGTATGTGTGTGTGTGTTCTATTGTATCCCATATGTACATTTCGGCCATCGATGTAGCTTGGTGCAGTTATGGGCATTTGTATGCAGTTTTGCTTACAGCAAAGTTTTCCAACCTTAGCAATTTTACGATGCATGGACTTCCACTCCCAGAATTCCCCAGCCAGCATGCATGGACTTCAGTTCCCAGACTTCTCTGGGCAGTATGTAACTTTTGTTGTGCTACTCAGCTACATTTTCATTTTTTTCACCCTGACAACGAGATTATCTCAAATCCCATTTGATGTTTGCAAAGCAGCTTCCATATCTCTTTCTTTGGACCACACTGAGTCCATTCAGTGTCTTCTCAACCTCAATAACTTTAAGATACGTGGACTTCAACTCCCAAAATTCCCACAGCCAGCATCCTGGTTGGAGAATTCTGGGAACTGAAGTTCACAAATCTTACTATACATTGACATAGTCAATCCCACTGGTATTCCATGCAGTCACAAGCACTTTGGGGTTGAAGGCGGTTGGAAGAAATGTCCATCTGGTTCAGTTCCAAGCCGGGAGGAAGAGACTGGAAACATGGAGGCTGATTGGAAAGATGGTTTAATGGTGAAGCAGAACCACCAAGCCCATGGTTCTGGGCAGGTGACCACATGGAGTTGAGAGTGGAGGGCGTTTTATACCTTCCCTTGGGCTTTGCATTTGAGCTTCCTGTTCCTGCGCAAGAACACGAGTTCTATTAGTTGTTGTAGGGGCCATAGCTAACTTTGTAGGTTGTCTAAGCCCCAGGTTTGGTTGAAGTTTGCCAGGTGATGCAATGTCCCCAGGTGATTGTGCCATGTAGTGAGCTCTGCTGCTAGGTGGGTTAATTCCGATTATGTCCTGGAGGATCATGTCTTAATCCCATCACCCTGGAGCTGGAGGTCTTTTGTCTTGTAAGCAGGCTGACCCAGTCTTTCTTAATGGGCACCGAAATATCTGCTGGGGGCAGGAGGGAGCTGCTTTCTGTCTTTAAAACAAGTTTCTTCTTTTATCATCCCGGGAAATATAATATTCTGCCTTTTTAATTTTTCCTAAAACATTTCATTTTTCTAGGAGGGCTGACTTCCCTCAAGGCTTTAAATTTTTCTTTGAAATAAATAGAAATAAAATTCTATTTAATATATAAAGTTCTAGGACCCACACTCATTATACTCTATATAAATGACCTTTGCAATCACCTTATAAGCAACTGTGTCCTCTTTGCGGATGATGTAAAACTGTTCAACACCACTGATAATGCTACTGTCCTTCAAAGCGACCTTGATTATGTGTCCGAATGGTCAAACATCTGGCAACTCCAAATCTCGACCCACAAATGCTCTGTCTTACACATTGGTAAAAAAAAATCAGTACACGAAATACAAACTAGGCAGATATAACCTCGTTGATGATCCCCACTCTGTCAAGGACCTTGGAGTTCTCATATCAAATGACCTAAGCACCAGAGCTCACTGTAGCAGCGTTGCCAAAAAGGCATTAAGAGTTGTAAATCTAATTTTACAACGCTTCTCCTCCGGAAATATCGAATTGCTAACTAGAGCATACAAAACTTTTGCCAGACCAATACTCGAATACAGCTCATCAGTCTGGAATCTGCACGGTATATCAGACATTAATACAATTGAGCGAGTCCACAAGTATGTCACGAGAAGAGTCCTCCACTCTTCTGCTTGCGACAAAATACCTCACACCACCAGGCTTGAAATTTTGGGCTTGGACAACCTAGAACTATGGTTGGACTTAAGCGTAGTACACAAAATTACCTGCTACAATCAACGACTACTTCAGCTTCAACCACAACAACACAAGAGCACACAACAGATACAAACTCAATGTAAATCACTTCAAACTGGATTGCAGAAAGTACGACTTCAGCAACAGAGTGGTCAATACCTGGAATGCACTACCTGACTCTGTAGTTACATCCTCTAACCCACCCAAAAACTTTAACCTCAAACTATCCACTATTGACCTCACCCCATTCCTAAGAGGTCTGTAAAGGGCCTGCATAAGTGCACCATCGTGCCTACTGTCCCTATCCTATGGTCCCCAATTATCAGTTCCTAATTCCTGTATTCTTACTCATGTTAATACTTATATCTAGTACCTTGTGAGCAATTGACAAATAAAATAAATAAATAAAATGTGTATAGAAGGCTAATAAATGAAGGGATTATGGTAAATTGAGGCAGGATGACCTCAGTCTTCAGTGCCCTCTGGTGGTGGATAGCTTAATTTAACATTCAATTTATTTAAACAAGAGTTTAGAAGCTCTCCTGTTTTCAACATGGGTAGTCCCCAAACGTTCCGTGGCTAAATGAGTCGTTCGTTAAGTGGGATTTGCCCCCATTTTGTGACCTTTCCTGCCACAATTGTTGAGTGAATCACTGCAGTTGTTAAGTTAGTAATGTGGTTGAATCTGGCTTCCCCGTTTAACTCTGCCTGTCAGAAGACCGCAAAAACTGTGGCCATGAATGAACCCAGGGATTCTGCAACCGTCGTAAATACGAACCAGTTGCCGAGTGTCCGAATTTCGATCTGTGAACCATGCGGGAGGCTGCCACAGTTTTGTAAGTGTCCTTGTGCCATTAGAATCTTACACCGATTTCCCCATCCCCTGTCTGCTGAACTGAGTGGCCGTTTTGCAATGGTGGCTTTCCGAAGATCAATTGTGGTGAAGCTCATTGGCTGTATGGAAGATGTATTCGGTGGAATTGAATTCCAGACTGAAGACACAAGGAATCCTACCACCCATGTCGGTTTCTGCAAAGGTTGACTCATAAGGTTGATGCTTAACATCTCCAAGGTTATTGCTTGATGGAGACAGATCGGACAAAGGAGGTGGATCAGTGAAATCCACCTTCTTTGATGTCCTCTTACGTTCCTTATCAAAGATTCTTCTTGTTTACTCCATCCTCTTTTGTATTCCAGTTGTTCTAAGCCAAGAAGACCTTCTACCCTCCCTAACCCAGTCACATCCAGGTCCTTGCCTTGTGTTAATGAATGACAGGAAGTAGATGTTGACGTCTTCATTTAAGCTCCCCGTTGGCGCTCTTGCTACTCATACAATATCTGCCTTCATCTTGGTAGAACATCTCAAGAAGTTCCAGGAGCCACCATGAAGTTCCTCATTCTGGCTTTTGCCATCTTCTCAGGTGAGTGGAGGATTTGGCTGAGGAAGAGGAAATGTTGAAACTTCTTTCGGCTGGGTTGACGATCTCTTTCCCTGGCTCTCCCCTTAGGAGCTGGAATGTTTCATTCTTGCAAAAGCATGTTTAATCTTTCCTCGTCCCACCCAAATGCACCGATAACTATAGGGATGACTTCAAAGACCTTTCATATAATCTGCGCATTTTGATAATTAGATACCCGTGTCTTATTGTTTCTTTCCATTCTTTTTCTTTGATTTTTACTATCTTCAGACATTGCTACATCTACCAACATTCCTCTTTTCCTTTGAGTTGTTGTGTGCTGTGTTGTAGATGGCAATTGGTTTGTCGTAAAAATCCAATTGTGGTCGTACTAGTGATAAAATTATCATCATCATTATCTCTTTTAGTCATTAAACATGAAACTTAGTCAACTGAACATTTAAAAATGTATCACAAATATCACTGGCTGGCGCTGATGGTTGATACGGATTGCTGCCAGCATCCTAGGTATCAGCCAAATATCTTCTTAAAATGTATGTTGTTCTAAAAAAATAAATGAAAAAATAAATTAATAAAAATGTATGTTGTTCTGAGTAGCGCAGTCGTTTGCGGCTCTGCTGGTGCTCAGTAGAAAGCTCTACTACTACTATTACTACTACTACTACTACTACTACTACTACTATCATTATCATTATCATTATTTCTGGAGTTGAAGACCACATATCTTAAAGTTGCTGAAGTTAAGGAACACTGTGTTAGATGATGATGAAGATGATGATGATAATATTATTTCAGAAACTGACCACCTAGAATGCCATAACTGAGTTGCTAAAATCATTCCCTGGAAACTGTGCCAAAATTTTGGATTTGAGTATAATAACAACTACTGGGAACATCAGGTTGAGAAGGTTCTGGAGAATGAAAAAGTCAAGATCTTGTGGGACTGCAGAATTTAGACTGACAGGCACCTGGCCCACAACACACCCGACATATCAATAGTTGAAAAGAAAAAGGGTTGGTTCATTGACATTGCAATACCTGGTGATGCACGAATCGAAGACATGTGGCAAGAAAAGAATCACACAGTACAGGACTTACAAATTGAAGTTGAGTGACTTTGGAAAAAGAAATTGTGTGTGATCCCAATTGTAATTGGAGCCCTTGGAGCAATACCTAAAGGGCTGCCTCGGTATTTGGAAATTCTGAATTTATCAGACTTGAATACCCTGATTCTACAAAAAGCCACCCTACTTGGAACAGCTTATATCCTCCAATCCTACCTGAACAGTTCCTAGGTCCTTGGTTAGGACTAAAACTGCTGAGCTACCAACCAGCCCCAAAGGCTGTGAATCTCACTAAAATAATAATAATAATAATAATAATAATAATAATAATAATAATAATAA